CAAAAAAATAATAAGTAAAATAAAACCAATATTTTGGTTTGCGGGTGGCACTTAGGACAAAATAAAAGCATGTCATATAAATATAAGTTAATGCTGGTGCAAAGGAAGTAGGACAGGTGAATTTAGAGGGGTAATAAGACTGGACTCCTGTGAAGAAGTGGCATTGTAATTGAGAATCACGTATACTAAAAGAGCTAACCATGTAAATTCTGTGAAAAATCATCTGTGCCTAAGAATCAGAAAGGGCAAAAGCCTTGAGGTAAAACAAATAAACAAAAAACAGTCTGGCATGTTTAAGGAATAATAAGAGAATTTTTATGTATGGAGAGAAATAGAAGGGAGTTGAAGAGGTAGGTATGGGATATTCAATAAGGAATTTTACATGTTGGTAAATAAGAAATTTCAATTTTATTTTAGGTGAAACGGGTAGAAGAATTTTATTTCTTATTTATAAAGATCACTGGCTCTTGCATTAAAAAAAAAATAGGTCTGGGGAGATTGTGTTATGAACAGGAACTCCAGGTAGGAGTCTACTAATAATGCAGGTTGTACTGACAGAGGCTTCTACTTAGGAATGCAGGGTAAGTACATGAATTTAGGATGTGTTGTGAAGAAAAGAACTGGTAGAGTTGCTATGAACCGTAAATAAATTGCAAAAGAGTAGAAATTATGGAAAAGAAGGCATCAAGACTGCCTCCTGGGTTTTTGCTCTAACAAGTAGATGAATAGTGGTGCAAGTTATTAAGATGGAGGAGAAGTAAATGAGTAAGATGTTGAGAGAATGATAATCAAGAGTTCTATTTTTTCTATATTAAACTTTAGGTATATATTAGATTTTCAAGTAGACTTATCAAGTATACTGCATGTATAATTCCAGATGTCAGGCCAAGAGTCACAGATGTGGAGGAGATCATATAGATGGTATTTAAAATCATGAATCCCTATAAATTCAGCTAAGCATGGCAGGAGGAAGATGGAAAGTAGAAGTCCTGAGACCAAGTTCTGCGAATGAGTAGAAGTAACAGATGATAGAGAAAGAAAGGCCAGGTTTTCAAAAACTAGAAATAGCTAATTTAACCAAACATGACTGAGGAGATGAGTGATGTAAGAATAGTGAATGGCTATTGGATTGGCTACATGGAGGTCACTGGTGGTCTTTATTGAAGTTGTTAATATAGAGCATTCTGCATTAGTCAGGGAGAAATAGAACCACTAGTTTTTCTCTTTATGAGGAGAAAGAGAGAGGGAGAGAAAGAGAGAATTATTGCAAGGAATTGAGGAATTGGCTAATGTGACTATGGGGGATTGTTAGGCAAGTCTGAAATCCATCTAATAGGCAGGCCATCACAAGGGGTAGCTGCAGGCCACAGGTGGGATTTCTTCTTCTTCAGGAAAACCTCAGTTCTGATCTAAAATGTCTTTCCACTGTCTGAATCTTCCCCAACCAGATTATAGAACATAATCTCTTTTACTTAAAGTCCCATGATTGTAGACATTAATTACACCACAGTAACAGCTAGATTAATGTTTAGTTGAATAACTGGGGACTATAGTGTAGGCAAGTTGACACATTTAACTGAACACCACATGTCTAAAAATTGACTGAAATCACTTGCAGTATGAAGAGAGGTGAACAAATAATAAAAGTAACTAAAGACAGGTTTTGGAGAGAAGTTATTCTGTGAAAATTGGGTAGAGGGAGTTGTTAAATAGGGGCACAGTTCTTTTGTTGTTTTTATTTGATTTGATTGCTTTTACAGCAAAATGGTATGTTTATAGAAATAACTCCGTGAAAAATGGAATAAGACAATGTTGAAGGGGAGTTTTGGATCCAGAGGACATGCTGAGCTGTTGATTTGAGATAGAAATTGCAAGATATTTTCCTTTTTTTCCAAATGGAAAAAGTGCCAAATACAGGACTAGTGATCAAAGATATTAGAGTATCAGCTTGAAGATCATCACAGAGAAGGAGGTTCTGTGTCCATGAGCTCCCAAAGGTGGTTAACTTCCCATCACTAAGACTATTTTCCTGAAAGTAATTTATTCCCTTAGAGGATGCACTTGCTAGAAGTGGAGCCTACCTGGTGAGGAGTCCGTGTAGGACTGAACTACCTCAAAGACAGCTCTTATTTTGGTCAAGAATTGGGCTTTCGCAGATCCATGAACCTCCTAATATTGTAGAAAAAGATGCAAGTCACTGTGGGCACTTTTCTTAAGAGAGTTTTTTTTTTTTTTTTTGCTGCCATTAGATTCTCAAAGGGGTTCATCACCAGAAAAAGTTAAATATGCCTCTCTAAGGTTTCATTCAACCCTAGAGTCTGTTATTTAATTCGATATTAGTCTTTCCTGCAGCAAGAACAATGGGATGAGAAACAAGGACAGCTGACTGGATTGATAGAAAACAATAAGGTCATATCAAAGAGTAATAGGATTATTACAACAAAATAAATAGTTGAAGTAATAATATAAATAACATTTTTACTTCACCATGAAAGCTTCAAGTTGTACTTAAAAGTTAAACCTCCTAGTACTGACAAATATCATCAAGAGAAGAGGTAACAATATATACACCATATCTTCATCCATTCATCTACCAGTAGACACCTAGGTTACTTCCATATCTTGACTATTGTAAAAATGCTACAATAAACATAGAAATGCATACATCTTTTTGAATAAGAGTTTTTGTTTTCTTTGAATAAATGTTGGAAGTGGAGATGCTGGGTCATAAGACAGTAATATTTTTTTAGTTTTTTTGAGGAAACTTCACATAGTTTTCCATAGTGGCTACAGCAATTTGCAATCCCACCAACAATGCCTGAGGGTTTCCTTTTCTCCACATCCTTACAAACATGTATTTGTTGACTTTTTGATAATAGCCATTCTGATGGTGTGAGATGATATTTCATTAGAGTTTTGATTTTCATTTCTCTGGTGATTAGGGATGGTGAGCATCTTTCCATATGTCTGTTGCCTTTCTGTGTGTCTTCTTTGGGAAAAAAAAATGTCTTTTCATGTCCTCTGCCTGTTTTTTGATCAAAATGTTTTTTTTTTTTAATTATTGTTATTGAATTGTATGAATTATTTGTAGATTTTGGATATCAAACTCTTATTTGTTATATAATTTATGAGTATACTCTCCCATTCAGTAGGTTGGCTTTTTATTTTGTTTATGATTTTCTTCACTGTGCAGAACTTTTTAGTTTTATGAAGTCCCATTTGTTTGTTTTTTCTCATTTCCCTTGCTGGAGGAGACATATCCTAAAGGATATTACTCAGACTGATGTCAAATAGTTTACTACCTATGTGTTCTTCTAAGAGTTTTATGATTTCAAGACTTACATTTATAATGGACTATTACTCTGCAATAAACAAAAATAAAATATTGCCATTTATGGCAACATGGATCGACCTAGAGAATACTATGTTAAGTGAAATAAGTCAGACAGAAAAAAAAATGCCATATGTTTTACTTATATGTGGAATCGAGAAAAAAAAAAGCAAACAAACAAAACAAAACAAAATCAGACTCATAGAAATAGAGACAAAAAAGATGGTTAGCAGAGGGGAAAGTGTTGGGGCAGGTGAAAGGTGAAGGGGAATACAGTCAATAATATTGTGATAAGTTTACATGGCAAAAGATGATTCCTAGAATTAGTAGGGTGATCACATTGTAAGGTATAAAAATATCAAATTGCCATATTGTATACCTGAAAGTAATATAACTGACATAATACTGTATATCAAATGTAATACAAAAATAATTAATTTTAAGAAAGGTAACAAGAAAATCTGAATATCTCAGAGATCCTGGGATAGGTAGCATATATCCTTGTAGATGTTCTGTGCTTTGTGATATAAGGATTAAAGTGAAGGCAGTCTTTCCTTGGCTTCATGTTTTATTGATACATCTGTTCTAAAATACATTCTTTTTGAAAGGGTTTGTTTAGAATAAAAACAGTAATTTCACAAGTAAATCCCCTCTTTGCAGGACTTTATTTTTAGTAAATTTTCTATGTTCATAGCTTCGCTGAGAAGTTCATCAACACTCAGTTTTCCGAATTCTTTCCTCCAAAAATCATAATCCAATATATTTAAGACAGAGTTATGGAAATGCATTTTTAAGATATATTCCAGATGATTCTGATACAGGCATTTAGTTGATCATATAATGGAAAACAGTGCAATCATGTAAACCATGAGGCAGGCACTCCTATAACCAAAACCAGGAATCTATTTAATTAATTTATATTAAAATGGTAGTGATCAACTGTGTTTATTCATTATAGGTTATAGTGTATAAGCAGATATGTCACTGCTAAATCAGAAAAAAAAATTATTATTGGGCAATTTTAGATTAAATATAAAACCTGCAGGGGAGAATTATAGGGATGGAAACCATTCCTGCATTATTTTGACCTTATTTTAGAGTGATTAACAGTTCTACCCATGTTTACAACTTTCCTTATATGGAAGATGGGCTCTACTTTAAATTCAGTACAAGCAATTCACAGAAGAGAGAAGAGCTATCATAATTTCAGGAGAGAAGCATTCCATGTGTTACACTAGGTCAAAATATTCCTTCTTCTCTTCTAGAAAAGTCAATAGAGAGAACTAATTTTTATCCTATATTTCTGAGGTAAGGGAGAACTTTTTAATGCTCACTCCCTCTGGGAAAAATAAAAACAAAAAAACTGAGCTTAAATTATTCTTTTACTGCAAGGACAAACAGGAACTCTAACTTCAGAATTCTTAATTTTGAACTTATATCATTAAACCATCATTACCTCCAATCTCCTTTTTTTCTAAGTAGAAGAGATTTTTTTTCTTTTCCTCTTCTCTGGGTTAAATTTCACATTTTCAAATATTCATAGGTCATTAAAGTCTAGAAATAACTGTAAAACAATTAAGATTGCTATTCTCAATGTATATAAACTGATACTATGTGGATAGCACCACTCACAAACACACCCGTATTGACAGTCCACGTGGGTACTTACTATAGGAGCATCCGTAGACCTCAACCCTCATGCCAATCTTTCCACTTGGATTCCATTCCTGGGGCACAAAACGAACAAACCGTGTTCTCACAGAGTGCGGTAACTTGTGGTGCATCACACTGTCTGCATTCACGTTTCCTGCAAATGTCTGCAGAGAAAAGGGGAGACCTAGTGAGATCTGTGGTACCATGAGATCTCCTTTACATTCCAGAGCTCAAGAAACATCAGTGGAAATCCAGATATGTACTCCATCAAGACTTTCAGAGAAAATCCTCAGTTTCTCAGATATTTCAAATAAAATCTGACTAGGGTAAAAACTCTGTAGTATGTGTTATATATTTTTTTCAGAAACACTTTACATTATTCTTTAAGAATCCATCCCCCTAGTTTATCACTCAGCTAATCCTAGCAAGTCATTTGACTTGACATCTAAAAGCTTTACAAAATCAATAATACAATGAAATTTTGATATCCCTAATGTTCATGATCACTGTGGCATAGAAGATAACTGACAATCTCCTCTTCGAATGAAAGGATTTTTTTGAAGTCATTTTTACCATTAATTGTAGTCAGTCACTATGCTACGCACTTTCTATTATTACCATTTTACAGATAAAAACAAAACAAAACAAAACAAAGCCTGAAGCCTAGAAAGAAAAAGAGGAGAAAAAAAATCTTCAAATTATCCAATTGGTTACTAATTGATCTGAGATTCAATTCCAAGCTGTCTTATTTCAAAGCCTATGGTTTTTCCACAGCCTTATACTTTTCAACTATTCCATTGTTAATTGTTACAAGGCTCTGTTTTTTATGTGATTTATTTTCACATTTTCTTATGAAGTTTAAGCAAAGGAACACATAACATGGGAGCTATTCGGCACACTAAAATTATAACTTCCTAGCCTTCATTTAGATGAATGATTTCTGGAGTAGAAATTTTTCTGCAGATGGAATTCAAAGTTTCATACCTATTTTTTTCCCATTAGAATAAAATACACATAATAGCAAATTTATCATTTTAATCATTTTAAAGTATATAGTTCAGTGTCATTAAGTACATTCACATTGTTATTCAACTATTAATCATCAATCTTCATCCCCAGAACTTTTTCATCATCCTTATTGTACCTAATCTTTAAGATTTGATGTCAGCTGGCACACAGATCTATTTTTTTTTTGGTTCGTTATAAGTCATCATCTGTCTTCCTTACTGACTTAAATATTTATAGATAAACCCTGATAGCTAACGTCCTTCAATCCCAACAAATCAGTAGATCCATTGGTTTATCAAATGGCCAAAGTAACAGCAAGTAAAGTAGTTTATCTATTTAATGAAATCTATTTTCAAAGATCTGAATCTCAGTCCTGGTATATCCTTAAAACACTTGTGAATTTAGGGTACCTTGAAAAATCTGTCATTTCTGCTGCACATAAAACACACAATGGCTAATAAGTCTGATATAAAACAGTTGATATAATCACTATTATATATTATGAAGTACCTTATGAAGAAGTCACTTTCTACTTTGCAACTATACTTACAGCAAAACCTTTGTGTAATGACTTGGTGGAGAGATATTCTTCAAGAGTCAAATCCAACATTTCAGTCCACATATTTCTCAATGGTTGCTAATTTTCTCTATATCTAAAAATAATGTTTTTATTTGGCAGACTTGTCCTTCCATATGTTCTGCTCCATAATTTAGCAACTGGCACAGGTATAAAATTTCCACAATCCCTTGCTCACTTAAGATAAGCTCTTCCCTGTAGAGTTTAGTTATTTTTAAAATCTAATTTTGTCCATACTTCTTTGATATATACATTTGTAGGGATGGAATATTGATGATTTTGTAGTTTTGCATTCTTTTAATGGAGTAAAAAGATTTTATGTTTTTCTACAACCTAACTGAGGTGCCTTCCATTCCTCTGGCTTCCCTCTTAATCATGTGTTGTACAGCTCATCTCCTACATGTAAAGTCCCAGGGTCTGTAGCATCTCTTATCTAACTGAACTTTTAATAAGACCTTACTCACACTGAGGGTGATAGGGTGCCCCTTATTGGGTTCTATGTAAGTTGTAGACTGAGTATATCTTAAATTGACATTGAAATACTGGTTGCATAATTCCAGATAAAAGGCTTATTTTGTTACCTTTGGACTCCTTTATAAGATCCCTTAACTTATGTATTGTGTACTCTGATGAGAGGATCCTGGATTACCATCAGAAGGGGGCAACCTCCTGGCACCATTGTGTAACATTGGGCAAGCTACTTAATCCTTCCAAATCTTACCGTCTTACAGTCTTATGATAGCAAAGTCTTACAGTCCCCAAATCACACTACCCCAGAGTCTTATCATTTGCAGTTTCATGGTTTCATAGTCTCATGTCCAAGCAGACCCAAGGCCTCAAAGTTTTGAGATCTCAAATCATGCAGTGTGTGGTCTTAGGGACCTCCTAGAGCTAGCAGTGGAAAATCAGCTCAGAAACACTTAAATGTACAAGCAGATTGAGTCTAGAGAAAACTGCAACCAAATTCCCACCAAGCTCATCTTCTGACAAAATCAAAGACAATCACCACTTAGCAATGCAGAAGTTGTAGGTTGAGATGAAAACAAGGAAGATGTTCTTTCTTTTCTGGTGTTTGAATCCCAAGGCCCTGTTGGATGCCTTAAGTTACTTCCTATCCAAAGCCAGCTCAATGGTTGAAGATACTTTAACAACAATAAGAATGACAGCTGAGTTCTCATGAGAAACATTGGAGGCAAACAAATATCAAAAGTAGGAAACTGTCAACCCAGCAATCTATATCCAGCAAAAATAGCTTTTAAATCTAAAGTAAAAATAAACACTGTTTTATATAAATAAAATCTGAGACAACGTATTACTTACAGACTCCCACTGATAATAATTGCTACATAAGTTCTATAATCTGAAGAAATTGATGCCAGGTAGAATTCTCAGTGTACAGGAAGGAATGAAAAGCACTTAAAGTGGAAAGTATATGGGTAAATATAAAAGTCTATTTGTTTCTTTTCTTAAACATTTTAAAAAATCAATGCACAATTTAAAGAAAAATAATATTGATGTATTGTGATGTTTCTAACATACATAGAAGTAAATATATGCCAATAAAGCCACAGATGATGGAATATAGGATAAATAGAATTATAATATTTTAAGGTTCTAACGTTATATATAAAAGAATATAATGTCAATTTGAAGTGAATTGTGATAAGTTAAGGATGCATAAAAATAAAACAAAGATGTATAGCCACAAAAACAACATACAACAAAAAAGGAACAACTGCTTTAATACAAAATATGATAAGAAATGAGAAAAAAAAAAACAGGGGAGAAAAATAAAAATAAATTTCACAATAGTAGATTGAAACTTACCCAGTTGGTAATTACATGAAAAGAAAACTGAATAAAATTCCAGTTAAATGGCAGAAGTTGTCAGGCTAGATAAAAACTAATAATAATAAATCTCATCTATATGCTTTTTATGTGGTACTCTTTTTTAAAAATAAAGATTGACAGGTTGAAATTAAAATGATGGGAAAAGATATTACATGCTAATAGTAGGCATAATAGACTTGGAATTCCTCTACTAATATCAGACAAAATAGGCTGTATTTCAAGATACAAAAAACATTTGAAGATTATAAAAGGTCAATTTATCATAAAAAAAAACTAAAAACTAAATGTGTATGCATCTACATTAGAGATTCAAAATATTAGAAGCAAAATATGACAGAAACAAAAGGGGGAAAATCTTCAGTTTTAGTTTGTTTTTAACATCTTCTATCAGTAGTTGATTGAATAAGTGGAAAAAGTCAGCAAGGACATAGAAGATTCAAACAACACTATCGGTGAAATTAACTTAATGAAAGTTCATATAATATGTCACTGAACAACTGGAAATTTTACATTGTTTTCAAGTAACCATGGAATATTCACTAAGAGAGACCATGACCTACATGATAAAGTACCAGTGAAGCCATCCAGTTTGTTTTCTAAGCACAATTAAAGTTACTTAGAAAACCCTCAAATATTTGGAAGCTAATCAGTACACTTCTAAATAGCCCATAGGTCAAAGAAGAAATCATAATTCAAATTAGAAAAAAAAAAATTAAATTAAGTGGTAATAAAAACAATGTATCAAAATGTGTGGAACACAGCCAAAGCAGTCCTTAGAAGAAAATGTATTGCTTTAAAGTTTTTTTTCTTATATATATAAGAAAGGTAAATGTAAGCTTCCACCTCAAGAAGATAGAAAAAGTCTAATAGAACTCAATACATTAGTAGATTAGACTACTACTCAACAATAAAGCATTGTAAACTACTGATATCTGTAACAAAACATTATGTTGAGTAAAAAGAGCCAACCATAAAAGAGTTCACACAGTTTGATTCTAGAAGAGAAAGAACTAAGCTGTGATGATAAAAATCAGATTAGTAATTTTTTTGGTAATGGGAGGCAGAAAATGACTGCAAAGAATGTTCATTGATTCATTTGAGCATAGTATCTTTGTGAGATAAGAAATATGTAATATCTTTATTTTAGAGATAAATAATTAGTTTTGAAGTTTAAATCATAAATCGAAAAATTATAAAATTGGATCTGGATTACAGAGATTCTAATTAAAGTCCTGTTACTCTTTTATTTCACTTCCATTATCACCCCCATATTCCAGGTTTCTAAAGAAAACCAAATAATTGCTATGTCACAATAATGATTAACATTTTTGAGAGACTTCTTCACACCAGACATTTGCTAGGCCCTCTGAATATTTTAGTATACTCATTTATCATTGGGAAGCTTTTAGCCAACCTCCTCACTAAAGGGAGCACCTAAAGACACACTCATACACATATGTTTAAACCTTTCTGAATTTGTAATACATTTTACAAGTGTATGGCCTGTCAATATAGGTGTCCCCCACCTCATCATGAGACCCTAGAAATTAGAGGTTAATTCTGAACCACTTCTCAGAAGTTTTTTTTTTTTTCCCTTACCCCACTTCAAAAAATATTATATTATATTTGGGCATAGACCTTGTACTGTTGTTATGAGATTAATGTTATTATTATTGTTTTAAAATATCATGCACATGCTTCTTGATAAAGCTGTTCATTGATTTCATT